GGAGGGGGAGGCCCTTCGGGCCGATTCCTGCCTTCATTCTTCTGAGAAGGATCCGTGTTGCGGCGGTCCTTCTCGATTTCCTCCGCTTCAGCATATTGGTCCCCCCGCTGAAGGGCCTTGGTATAATCGCAGGGGGGATCAGTGATGAGACTCCTGAAGAAGTTACCGTTGCGGAGGACGGTGTGGAAGAGGGCCATCAGGGTTCTGTCATCGGCGCCTTCGACCTCGAGGGAGGCCTGCCTCCAGCGTTCTAGGAAACTCCGAAGGGTTTCCTCCTTCTGTTGTCTCACGTTTAGAAGGTGGGAGAAGTGCTTCTTTGAGCGATGCCTCCCAGCAAATTGCGTGAGGAAGCGGTGGGCAAGTTCTTGCCAAGAATCGATGCTGCCTTCGGGCAACCGGTTGAACCACTCATACGCTGGTCCCTCTAAGGTGGAAAGGAACCAACGGCATAAGTATTCATCCGACGCCCCCATCATCATCATGCTGTTCTGATACCTGCTGTAGTGCTCTTGGGGATCCGTCTTCCCCTCGTATGGTTTGATGGGCTGCCCCCGGTATTTATGGGGGATCTTGGCCGCCAGCACCCTTGGGGTGAAAGGTGTCCTAGTGCGGAGCTGAATGAGGGGCTCGCCTGAGCCTTTGGCGATTTTACGCTTCATTTCCTCCACTTGCGCCCGGAGGTCAGCGTACTCCAGATCTGGCCTTGCTGTGGAAGCCGTCGGGGGTGCCTGACGATTCTCCTCAAGTTGACGGAGGAGGGCCTCGATGATTTCGTCCTTGGGATCTTTCGGGGCAACCCCTTGGGAGTTGGCCCGGAAGGATTGCGCCTGATTGATTTGGTGCCTGGCGTCATCGGCATGGAGGAGGGCTTTGCCTTTGCTCCGGGGTGGAGGCATGCCCTCGGCTCCCGAAGCGGAGGCTCCACTCTCCTGGAGCCTACTGAATTCTTGCTTGCCGAGGCGGTCTTGGACCCCCAACCTCTCAAGTGCAGAGGTTCGGGGTTTTTCCTTCATCATGGGGCGCTTATCCCTGGATTGGGCCTCCTGGGAGGCGGTATCCTGCGCTATGACCCCCTCGGCATTGCCAATCCCCGGGGGAGGATTGTTGAACAAAGGAGGGAGTGGTGGTAGTTGGATAACATTTCCCCCAGCATAGGGCTGAAGGGGTGCTTGAGAGACGAGGGCTCTGGAATTGAGAGCCATGTTTTGAACAAAGGCCGCAAAGGCAGCCTGAAGATCGATGGCCGGGGCCGGAGGGGGAACTTGGTTCTCACTCCGATCCCTCCTTCGATTATCAAGGCCAATGCGGGCATCAGGGGCGTTCTTCTGTAGTTGCTGACGGAGGTCAGCAGTAGCCTGCTCCAATTCGAGGATGATACCACCCTCGGGTACTAAGATCCTGTTGGAGGCCTCAGCCCCGTTGGTTTCGCCGGGGGCTACGTGGTTCTCCTCAAGGGTTTTGGATTGGGCGCGAGTTGTTCTTCCCATTTTTGATAGGCGTTTTGAGTTTGGTAGAGGGGGAGGGTTTCTTACTTGATTGTTTCGACTCTCAACGAGAGCACCAAATGATGGATAGTCTACCCGGGGGGTATCTTATCCGAAGGGTTATTGCGGGAATAACTAGAGAGAAGTCAGAGTAAATAGGAGGAGAGAGAGTTGATCTTATTAAATGAACTCAGCGTGGTTTACAAGGAGAATAAGGGCTGCTATTTATAGCAGCAATAAATGCGATGAGAGCACACGTGTCAGTAACCCAACGGCCGAGGGGTCACATCAGCCGGGTGGCACCGACAGTGGTACGTTCACCGCATTGAATGCGGTTGGCGGATGTGACGTGGCATTAAATGCGGTGGTTGGCTGTCCCCAAAAGGAATCTTCGATGATTGAGCATGCTTGGCCGAAGGCTTCTCGTGTAGCCGAGGGCTCTATTTGACCGAAGGTTTGGTTCAGCCGAAGGCTTCTCTGATGCCGAGGGCTTGATAATGCCTAAGGCTTTTGATAGCCGAGGGCTACCTTTTACGCTGTTTTCTCTGTCTTCTTATGTTCAAAACTGGCTGCTCTGTGTGATTCGGAGCCTTCGGTAAAAGAGGCCGAGGGCACCCCAGTGTATATTCTGGGCTCCTCTGAGTCTTGGGCCGTTGTATTTGGGCCTGAGATGCTCCCTGGGCTCAATGGACTTGTGTAGGAGAAGTAGGAGTCTATGGGCCGGGGGTTCCTGGGCCATATACTCCATCAATAGCCTTAACTAATTTGGGCCATGCCAAATGGCCTTTATCTTAGTATTTAAACCGTATAATCAGTCTCTTCCAATAGTGAGATTGTTTTGTAGACCCTCCGGACTCCAGTGCAAGTGTTACCCTATTTATTCATCCTTAGCCTTTTAAAATCTTATTTCGTTAACACGAAAATGTGCAAGATATAAACGATATAGTGCATCATATTTGCTTAAAAGTGGAGTTCTCATGTTCTCACGTCAAACATGGTTTTCATTTGATCCAAAATCTATATAGGGAGCGGCAGGGGCGGAGCTTGGGGGTGCCCAGGCTAGGCCCTGGCCCACCCTAAATTTGAAAAATGTCAATATTTTTAGTGTAAAAAATTTCGTGTAATTTTTTTCCCAATAATATTCTTTGTACCGGCCCAGTCTAGCCCAGTGTCTGGCTACGCCCCTGGGGAGCGGTTCTTTGTGTAATAGGATATTGAGATCTCTTTTATAAAGGCTATCTAACCTTGAAAAATGTTGGTAATCCTTGTCCCTAATCTTGAAAAAGATTGTTGGGGCAAATCGGGCGGATGTCTCAAGGTTGAGCTCGGCATTTGTGAATTGTGAGTACCAGTTTAATGTGGCCAAACTCCGTTATTTGACAAGTGAAATGGGATTCCTATAATCTTCAATCAGTTTAATCTTCCTCTTTCTTGCTTATTTTTGTGCAAATAATTGCAAAAAATGATTTTATTTAATACTCCTTATCATATTTCAAGACTAGTACATATTTACTAGGGATGGGCAAAAATCCCGGTCCCGGTGTCCCAAACCGAAAAATCTCGATACCGTTCCGAAACTATCCCGATTCATTTAGGACACAATCTTTTCATCCCGAACCGGTCCCGCACCGATATTAAACGGGACGGGACCGGGATAGCTATAAAATATCATGTCCCGTCTCGGTGTCCCGTTTGAAATTAAAATGTTATTTTAAATTTCTAATGCTATGTAATAGTCAAACCCAATTAAAACTTTCTAGTTCTTAGTCCCCCTAGTGTAATTTTATCTTATTTCATGTCTCTCTTAGGCTCATTTGTTTTGTTTCTTTTGATTAAAATTTGTTTACTTCTCAGTCCAATACTAATACATAATATATTATTACGTGCGGAATACTATTTATGATGGAATAACTACTACTCCGAATTATAGTGTTGTTGTAGATTTAATATTTTCCACAATAACTACTAGAAAATATATATAGTGTCTTTATAAATATGATATTTAATTTAATGTGGTATTGAAAAATTACAAGTATACTACAAAGTATAAAAATAGTTTGCGCTACTATTCTACTAGAGAAAACACTGGGGGACCAAAAAATTTACAAGACAAAATTAAAAATAGTTAATTAAAGGTTTTACTTAACTCTTTGGAGAAGCTAAATTTGCAAAAATAGTTACTACCTCTGCCCCCTAAGTTTGAGACAAGAGAATGTGACACAATTATTAATAAAAATGGGTTTATGTGGTTGATATTGAATTGATAAAATAAGAATAAAGCTTGAATGATGTAGAAGCACACAAATTTTACCAAATAAGGTATGCAACAATCTTAGTGGGACGACCGAAAAGCCCCCTAGTGTAATTTTATCTTATTTCATGTCTCTCTTAGGCTCATTTGTTTTGTTTCTTTTGATTAAAATTTGTTTACTTCTCAGTCCAATACTAATACATAATATATTATTACGTGCGGAATACTATTTATGATGGAATAACTACTACTCCAAATTATAGTGTTGTTGTAGATTTAATATTTTCCACAATAACTACTAGAAAATATATATAGTGTCTTTATAGATATGATATTTAATTTAATGTGGTATTGAAAAATTACAAGTGTACTACAAAGTATAAAAATAGTTTGCGCTACTATTCTACTAGAGAAAACACTGGGAGACCAAAAAATTTACAAGACAAAATTAAAAATAGTTAATTAAAGGTTTTACTTAACTCTTTGGGGAAGCTAAATTTGCAAAAATAGTTACTACCTCTGCCCCCCTAAGTTTGGGACAAGAGAATGTAACACAATTATTAATAAAAATGGGTTTATGTGGTTGATATTGAATTGATAAAATAAGAATAAAGCTTGAATGATGTAGAAGCACACAAATTTTACCAAATAAGGTATGCAACAATCTTAGTGGGACGACCGAAAAGGTAAAATAGGACAATCATAGCGGGACGGAGGAAGTACATCTTTATATTGATGTTATACTTATTTTTATATCATATTTCACAAATGCATATTTTATGGGACATCCCGAACCGTCCCGGTTTTTCTCGGGTTGTTCCGGTTCCGTTTTAAATGGGACAACATTGGGATAAAGACATATCCCGTACCGAACCGAACTGTTGTTATAAAACCGGGACGGGATCGGGATAAACCAAATCCCGGACCGTCCCGGACCGTGCCCACCCCTAATATTTACTGATAGATATTTCACTAGGTGTTCAACGTTTCATACTCTATCTACCAATTTTCTACCCATGATACAAAATTTGTAAGTTTCGGGCCCAACCACTTCCCTGATTTTATATGATCCTTTCCTATATTTAGCTAACATTAAACATAATTTTCTCAATTTCAATTTCAATTTTAAATATAATCTCTTTTTTTGAAAGAGATTATAATCTCTTCGTAATTTTAAATACGGTGTATTTACATTTTTTTTTAAATACGGTGTATTAATTCAGTGGATTTAGTCCTTTGACCAAAATTTAATCAATTTCAAACAGTCAGGGTCGCAGTGAATTTTATTCTCCATTTTTTGGACATGAGCTGAGATCTAAGCAGGATCGGTTCCTGATTCGTTCTTCACCAGGGGTAGTAGGGTTTCGTTGAAATTGCACGAGCGCAATGGAAGAAGAAATTCAAAATCAACCCCAATCCGAAGTCCAACATCACGAGTTAGGGCTCGAGCTTCAATCTCTGACAAATCAATCGCTTCCGCCTAATGCCTATCCCCAAACCCCTGTTGAAAGCAGGCCACTGCTGTCTGAAGATAATGAAGGTGAGGTTGATGAAGAAGATGAGAAAGCTATGCAAATCATCTGCAATGAGCTTCAGGACTTGGTGCTGAGTCAGGCGTATCACGATCGTGAGACAAACCCGAGCTTAGAAGAATCAGGCAAACCTTGCGATGGATATGACGGTTATGGGTATGGATATGGTGATCATAATGGGTACAATATATATGGTGATGATGATATGACCGGAGATGGGGTTGGGATTCCAAATGGGGTTGACGAAGTGTCTATTGAAGGGGACAAAGCTGGTAGTGGGTGGTTTAATTCTAGTGTTGGTCATGGTAAGAAATTTGTTTTCAACTATCCTTTGAGACCCGATGCAGAGGATTGTGCCTTCTATATGAAAACTGGCACCTGCAAATTTGGATTCCAATGCAAGTTCAATCACCCCAGACGAAAATCACAGGTCTGGTTTGGTTTAGTTTCTCCATCTATCTCTTCTTCATGTTTTTCTGTATGATGTTAGGAGTATGTTGGTTTTTTTTTTGTAGTTTTGTGAAGGAAAAAGCTTCCTTGAAACCTCAATGATGTTGTTATCATTTATTGCCTGTTTTCAGTTTATGTGATATAGAGTTCTGCTATTGCTTTACTAAAAGGGTCTATATTAACCTTTTGTTCCATTCTTATTTAGTGGCCTAAAGACAAGGGGATGCTAAAAGAAAATAACCCAGAAAGAACAGTGCAGACAGAATGCAAGGTTTGGTTTTTATTTCATCTTTTAATCTTTTTTGCTTAACTGTCTTGGGAACATGAATGTATTATTAGTGTTATGTTAATAGTGAAAGAGTAAATATCAATCCATGTGTTTAGTACGACTGATCTTGGTTGTTTATTACGAACGACGCAATGATATGCACAGATAATGACATACAAAAAAAATTGTTGGCTTGTTGCAAATGGTATTGAAATTGAAATCTAATGTTCTAAACTTGCTTCTTTTATTGCTATCTTTTATAACACTAAGATCAAAACATGTAGCTTCTATTAGTGATTATTGTTGATGGATATTAAAAAGTGGTAGACCATACTAAAGCAGTGATGGTATACGACATTGGTTACATGTGTCTGCACTAGTACAAGTAGTTTTTTGCATGGCTGTCTCAAGGCATAATTTTGTGTGTGTGTTGTGATTTAAATAAGTCATATCGTATGGCATAGTTTGCTGCACGTTTAGTACTTCAAACCGTTAAAGAAACATCTCTTTGTTTTTCCTGTTGTGGATTGGTGTTGGCAAATCCCAGAAAGGTTTCCACATTACATATTTGCATGCACCAATTGAAAATAAGATGTGAGAGTCTTGATTGCAATTGTTTGGTCATGTGTGTAGAAGAAAGGGATGCAAATAGACCTAAATAGACGTGAATTAGAAGAGCCAGGAGTGATATGCTTCCTATTAGGTTGGGTTGGATGTGAGTATGATTTTGGAGAGCAAAGTGCAGGGAGAATCTTTTCATCTGATTTCATGTGTCGATTCATGTTAGCCGGCCATTGGGACCATGGCTTGGTTGTTGTTGTACTCTACATAGTGCATCAACATGAAATATAATATAAATTTGAGTAATTTCAAATGCATACAAGAATACAAAATATATAAATAGTCCCCCATCCCATAAAAGAGTCCTCTTTGACCAAAGTAAAACTTTTTACTTTTAGACAAGAACATTTTTTGTAGCTCATAACTTATATTCTTGTTTTTCAAATTGGGAAAATCGATAGTAATAATCCCAACTATTGGCGGTCTGGTCATAATAATCCCAACTATGAATTATTTCAGAATAATCCTAACTTTAGGGACCTTCCGCCAATAATGGTTCGGCATGACCGGCTATAAGTAAATTCCTATAGTTTCTAAAGTGGATAAGAAGAGATATAGCAGGTAATCCCTATAAATAATCCCAACTTTTAATTTTTACTCGTAATTTCTATTTAAAATTCACATGTTATTCTGGTCATGGACCATTATTGGTGGAGGGTCCATATAGTTGGGATTATACAAAAATAATCAATAGTTGAGATTATTGTTAGCGGGCCGGCAATAGTTGAGATTATTATTTTCAATTTTTTCTTTCAAATTTCATCAAAATTGTCTTTATTTGGTCAATGTGAAATGTATGACTATATTCATTATACTTGATATTAAAATGTTGTCTAATACATGTAGCTCTATTTAGTATTGGGTTTCCAAAACAAAATGGGCTAAGCCTAATATAACTAGGGTTTCCACACCCCCTTAAGCTGGAGCATATAAATCATATGCACCAAGTTTGTTACAAATATACTCCACTCTAGGACCTCTAAGGGACTTAGTTAAAAAATTTGCAAGTTAATCAGTTGTGCTGACATAATCTGTGAAGTTATGTCCAACCTTGATCTATTTTAGGATAAAGTGGCAATTAACTTCAACGTGTATAGTCCTCTCAAGATATACCGGATTCGATACGATGTGAATTATGGCTTGATTGTCACACAATAATTGAACTAGTTTTGTGCTTCCATATTTTAGTCTTAGAGGAGATGCTTAACCATAAAATTTCACATGTAGCAAGGGCCATTGCACGGTATTCTGCTTCAGCACTAGATCAGGAAACCACACCACTTGTTTCTTATTCTTCCAAGAAATAAATTTGCACGGATGAATATGCAATATCCCGAAGTAGACCGTCTATCTATCGTACATCCAGTCCAATCCGCATCACACTATCCCACAATGTCTCAGTGACCTCGGTTTTCGAATAGCAACCCTTGTCCTAGTGTTATCTTAATGTATCTCCAAACATAGATAAGTGCATCCCAAGGTCTGTTACATGGCTTATCAAGAAAATTACTAAGAACACTGACCACAAATGAAATATCTGGTCTCGTGATGGTAAAATAATTTAGTTTGCCAATGAGCATTCTATATTTTCCTTATTTGGGCAAAGAGTCTCTTTAATCTGACAAGAGTTTGACGTTTGGATCCGTTGGTGTATCCACGGGTCTACACTCTAGCATACCTATTTTCTCAAGAATGTCCAAGACATATTTTCGTTTGAGAGAGATTCCGTTTTTCAATGGCAACAATGAGTCATTGACCCTTGTTGCAGTTGAATATTAAAAATGTGTTTATATGGAGTAACCACTTGGATTTGTTGCTCGGGGGGGGGGGGGGGGCAGGTCTGGTGTGCAAATTACGCCGTTCGTTATATGGCTTGAAACAATCTCCATGTGCATGGTTTAAGAGGTTTAGTGTTGTTTCTTAGATTTGGCATGGTTCGAAGTGATGTCGATCATTCTATATTCTATAGACATTTTGCAGGCAATAAATGTATTTATCTTGTTGTGTATGTTGATGACATTGTCATTATAGTTAGTGATGAACACGGAATTGCACTTCTCACTTCTCAAGCAATATCTTTTTAGCAAATTCCAAACAAAATACTTTGAAAAGTTGAAATTCTTCCTTGGCGTTGAGGTCGCATAATCAAACGAACAGATGCAACCTTTGCTATGGGGAAAAATGTTAATGTAATCTAACCCATAGATCTGAGTATACCCTTCCGCCACAAGCCGTGCTTTAAAATGATCTTACCATCGGGGTTGTATATCCACAGACATCCAACAACTCATTTGCATGTGGGATAGGAGACTAAGTCTCACGTCCCACTCCGGGCGTGCCAATGCCTCATGTATGATTTTAGGAATGGAGATATGAGACATGCGTGAAATGAAAGCAAAGTAAGTGATAGAGAGGCGATGATAACTCAAAAAGTTATATATGAGATGTGCATTCAAAGTAAGTGTACCTTTTCAAAGCGCAATGGAAAAATCACCCAGAGTAGGTTGAGATGTTAGAGCTGCTGGTGATGATGATGGATTGTTCGTAGGGGAATCAAGAAGCGGGGCCATGATAGGCTCAATGGGAAGAGGTTGAGGATGTTCGTTGGTAGACTTGTAATGGACAATTTGGGTGTTCATCCAATGGGGGAAATAATAGTATTTGGATGGATGGGTCGGAGATATGAGATGAAGTCCATACATCATGGGGGTATCAACCAAAGAGAATGGGTAATAAAAGGAAGATTCAATGAAAGTGACATTAACTGAAACAAAATGTTTCTTAAGCAGAGGAGAATAACAACTATAATCCTTTTGGAGTCGTGAATATCCAAGGAAAATACATTTTACTGATCTAGCCAACATTTTATGATAACACGTGTCATATCATGAACAAAACACACACACGTAAGCACATGAGGTGGTAATGGAAATAACTCACGAGTAGGAAACAAGACAAAAGAGGGGATTTTATTATTAAGAATCGATGAAGGCATACATTTTATTAAATGACATGGAGTGACTACAAGGGACTACAAGATCTGGCCAATAGTGAGTTGGTGTATGTGAATGTAATAACAGGGTACAAGTAGTATCAACTAAATGTCGGTTCTTGCTTTCAAAAACCCCATTTTGTTGAGGTTGTGTGAACGCAAGAAAATTGGTGGAGCATACCCTGTGATGTCTTGAATTAATTAAAGGGGGCCGCAAAACGCTCTTTCATTAAAAATAACCACGTGTAACGGGAAAGTCATCCATAAAAATAAAAAATATCAAAATCTTAAAGTAGAAGTGACTCGTTAAGGACCCCATACATCTGTATGAATTAAATCAAAGGGGGACGCAACCCGTTTATTTACCCGCCTTGGAAAGGACTTGTGAGCTTGTTTTCCAAGGTGACATGACTCACACTCTAAAGATCAAATGTGTGAGAAACCTGGAACCCACCAAAACTTTGAGAGGCTAGGATGACCCAACGATTACAACAACAACAACAACATCCAAGCCTTAATCCTAAAAGGTTTTGGGGTCGGTTAACATGAATCGATTTATGATATCGATGCCAAAAAGATAAGACAGACAAGAAGAAAAAAAGGGATAAAACGAATAAGACAAAGATAAATACATAATAGGGAAAAGGGGCAAATAAGCCCTCGAACTAATAAAAAAAGTGCAAATAAGCCCTTTTGTAGGAGGTTCCGTCCGGTCATCGTCATTTGGGGAGGTTCACAGTGGAATTTTTTGATGAAAATTTTTGAGCATCTTATTCATTAAGTCTAGTTTAGTCCCACTGAATTTCAGCTAAAAATTCAACCGGGAAGACAGTCAAATGAATTTTTGAAGATAACTGCACAGTTAAACAACGCAGTATTTTTCCGAAAATCATTTGAGTGCCTTCCCGGTTGAATTTTTAGCTGAAATTCGGTATGGCTAAACTAGACTTAATGAAGAAGATGCTCAAAAAAATTCATCAAAAAATTCCACCGAGAACCTCCCCAAATGACGATGATCGGACAGAACCTCCTACAAAAGGGCTTATTTGCACTTTTTTTTATTAGTTCGAGGGCTTATTTGCCCCTTTTCCCTACATAATAAGATAACAAGAACATAAGAATATAAGAAAGATAAAAGATTAAAAGATAAAAATGCTAGAAGATAAAAATAACATAGGAACATAAAAAGACAAATAAGATAAACGATAAAAGAAAAAGAGCGAGGAAAAATAGAAAAGAGATCAATCGTCCACACGAATGTGCGCCCTCCACTTTGCCCTCTCCAAAGCCATACTCTCATCCAACTCAAGAAGATGCATATCAGTTTTGATTCCTCTAATCCAAGTCTGTTTGGGTCCTCCCCTCCCTCTCCTCTCTGTCTTTTCTCCCCACCCTTCAAGTCGTCTAACAGGTGCATCACTCGGTCTTCTAAGAGACTCCTGCCTCTTATCTTTTATAGGTGTTACTCCCACCTTTTGTCTGATTATCTCATTTCTCAAGCGGTCTTTTCTGGTATGGCCACACATCTAACGCAACATACGCATCTCTGCCACACTCATCTTTTGAATGTGACATTGTTTCACCGCCCAACACTCTACGTCATACATTAATGTAGGCCTAATTGCTTTTCAATAAAATTTACCTTTCACTCTAGTCGGCATACCGCGATCGCATAATCAGCAACAAAAGTTATAGAACAATTAAGAACAAGTGTAATTTTTCTAAGAGAGACAAGGTTAAAAGGGCTCTTAGGAACATATAAGATCGAATCAAATGGTAAGAATGAAAGTTGAAGTGTTTGCCCAATACTTGGGTAGTATATAAAAGAAGAAAAAGAGATAAGCTATGTCAGCTCCTGTGGGGAAGTGCTCTAAAAAGGTTAGGTTGGGTGGCTCAAGTTCCTCATATAAGAAGTATTCTTCATTTTCATGTCTCTATTATTAAAATATATCTTCCTATATAATGAGCATTGTCTGCTTAATACATTCCTTACCCATGATTTAATTCGGGTCATTTCGGTAGTGGCTAATAGCCTAATAGTGGTCATTTAATATTGTATTGCTATTATATGATTATGGCTCTTGTCTTCTTTGCTCATGTTCATTACTTTGGGAGTCTTGTGACCCTTAGTAGGGTTTTTCTGCAATTCGCCCCCCTACCTGCATTGATAATTCAACAAGCTGCAGTTTCAGTGTTGAAATGGGTAATTACTAATTAGTGCAAAAACTGTATATTGTTCATGTGTTGTGTGAATATGTAATTTGTTCTCCACATTGTTTGCATTGTTTAGAAATGTGTATGTTTTTATCTATGACAACAGGGAACCCATGAATTTCAATTTCTAAAAAATTAATTTTGTTTCCAATAGGAGAATGTAGTTATATTTGTATGACTTGAGGTATGCTACAAGATTTTCCATACTCCTTTCATACAATTTCTTAGTTCAAAGCCTAATTCATAAATTTTTTGATGCTCCCATTTTCCTTTCGATGTGAGCTGCAGTATTACCTTAGTACGGGTGGCTGCAAATATGGGAAAAACTGCAAATACAATCATAGCAGGGAAAAGTTTCAAGTGTCACTGGTTCAGGAGTTTAATTTCCTTGGCCTGCCAATGCGAACGGTACTTTGCCTCTTTCAAGTATTCTACATTTTCAAGATGAGATACAAATTTACTACTTTTAGTCTTCGTAAGTAATCGAATTTATATATATTGGTTTCTCAATTTCTGTTAGGGTTTGTTTGGATCCTTGAAAATCATTGGGAATTTATCATTGGGAAACTGTGTATGATAAATTTCGTGAATTTTATGTACATATGTTCAGATCTCTAGGCCTTTTATTCTTAGTACAATATAAATAAAATAAAATAAATAAAATGAGCTGAACAAATGTTTTATTTTCCCTCACATTTTCCTTCTTCCTATTTCTCCTATATTATCCTCCCGATTTTCTTTTCTAGTATTTTCTGAATTCCAGACAAATCCTTACCGTCTCTTTTTAGGGGCTCATTAACCAAATTCTAACGGGAGAATTCTCCTTACAATATGCAGGGAGAAAAGGAATGTCCATACTATATGCGTACTGGCTCATGCAAGTATGGATCAAACTGCAGATTTCATCATCCTGAGCCCACCATTGTGGCAGGAGATGACTCTTCTTCTTCTGGATATAACAAAGGAAGGTCTGTTTCAATGCAAGGTACCACTCAGTCGAACGTGAGTTCTTGGTCTCATTCGTCCAGAGCAATGCATGAGACAACATCATATGTTCCTCCTATGATATATCCCCCAACTCCAGGCATTCCTTCTCCCTCTCCAGAATGGAATAGTTATCAGGTAATCTTTTAACTTGCCTCACTGGCTTCTTTTGCTGGCAGTGATATTTACACCGCTCTAGATTTCACATGTTGCATGACATGTTGAGTAGGCCTTCTGTTAAGAATATAACATCTTTATTTTGGCCCACACATTTTAGTAATATTATTAGTTAAGATAACATTTTTTTATTCTATCATTGTTTAGTGTTAACCCTTTCAGAAAATGGGACAAAAATAGGACATCACAAAAAGGAAAGAATGTCATTATTTGGGACGATGTGATTATATTAGTGAGGCAAACCTCTTTCTTGGGATCTTTATAGCTAGGTCCAATGGTAGGATTGTAGTGCACCTGATAGGGAATTGTTTCAGTAGATATGTCCAGCCTGGCCTAGTGTAAGATAGGTACGTTGAGCATACAAATTGATTATCTATTGAGCTTGAGTTTGGTAATTAGTATATAAGTGTGAGGTCAATCATAAATCTCATCTCTTGAGAATCCTTTGGAGTAAAATTGCCCTACTATAACATGGTATTAGTGGAGCTTGGTGTGATGATAGGTTTGTCGGGTGCCTGCCTACTTGGTTTTTGGGCAGCCTGTTTGCATCTGTTTCGGCCAATTTGTCCACCCTTCTAGGTGTCCAGCTCGGCCTGGGCGTACTGAGGCATGTCGAGTATTCTACATTTCTACATCTGTTGTGTACTAGTGTTTGAGTTATTTATGTCTGAGCCTCTGAGGTAAATCCGACTTCTTGAAAATATTTTTGGATGAGTTTGGACTATTTCTGACCTGGTCTGTTTAAAATCAAATAAGTAAGCGAAGAGTAAAAGGTGAAGAGTACACGAGCAGGGCCAGTTTAACATGCCACATGCCTTTTCTTGAGCCAGCAGGCACACTGTGCTCTTTTGTTTGAAATCTTATGATGCTCAACTCAGGGTAAGGGTGTACTAGGGTTTGAGTCTATTATTTATGTCTGAGGTAAATCCAACTTCTTCAAAATATATTTGGATGAGTGGACTATTTCTGATCTGGCCTGTTCAAAATAAAATAACCAAAAAGTAAAAGGTGAAGAGTACACGAGCAGGGCCAATTTAACATGGCACATGCATTTTCTTGAGCCAGCATGCACACCGCCGTAGAGATGGCAATTATGACTGAACCGATGGATACCCACACTGAACCGCCCCGGTCAAAATGGTAAAAACCGCATTGACCGGGTAACAGGTACGGGGCGGGGAATACCCGTTTTGTTTTTACGGGTAATGAGGCGGTTACGGTTTTATACATGCCCGCCCCGTTACCCGAACCGTACCCGCCCCTTATATTTTTAGTTATATTTTTATTACATTTTATCTATTATTTGTCTCACAGCTATTAAAAGATGAGACTTTTCTCTTTCCATTATGTATATATAGATTATAGATGTACTAAATAAAAGTTCTTAATAGATTTTAACGGTCTTGTTTGGTTGTTATCATATTTTTTCGTGATGAATTATTTTTTAGATAAAGTATTTTAGGTCAAATTAATTTAAGTTGCTTCCTTTCTCGTCTTGTAGATATACGAAATTTTAAAGTAGGGTCTGAAGTCTAGACTCGTCTAGGCAATGCCACTTTTCGTCTTTTGAAATATTATTTTCATATAAAAAATTTAATTACTCATTTAATAAAGCGGTTACCCGCGGTTACCCGAAATTTTACCCGTTACCCGTTGGGGCGGTTATAGTTTGGATAAAAATTATCCGTTGGATAATGGGGCGGTTACGGGGTGGGGGCCGCAGGGCAATTATCCAATGGGGCGGACACGGTTATATGTAAAACCGTCCCCGAACCGCCCCATTGCCATCCCTCTCCACACTGTGCTCTTTTGTTTAAAATCTTATAGTGCTCATGTTAGGGTAAGGACGTGTTGTCTCTGCTTAAGGTTTGTGGGTTAGAAGAAACAGAAAAGATTCGTATTGTAATAAGTATTTCTTACTTGCTTTATTTGGTTGATTGAGGCACCCATCTACCAAGCATCTGAGAAGAGCCTTCCTACACCTCCTGCATTTGCCATGAGCAACTCTGTGTTAGAAAAGTTCAACCCAACTCATGTTCCACAATTTTCAAAATCACCTTTGCTTGGTGAAGATTATCCAGAAAGACCTGGTCAACCTGAATGCAGTTACTTCATAAAAACTGGTGACTGTAAATATAAATCTAATTGCAAGTTTCATCATCCGAAGAATCAATTGCCCAGGATGCAAGCACTTTTTAATGACAAGGGCCTGCCTCTAAGACCTGTAAGTTTCTGGGCGCTTTCTTGGAAAATTATATTGAAGAATTGTTTTTTGATTTCTGGGATGTTCTTGTCATCATAAGCATCATCAACGCCTTAATTCCAACTACTTGGGTCTGTGGCACACGACTTGTAATTTTGTAAAAAAATTAGGTAAGAGAATAATCAAAATATAGTGACATTTCATCTCAGGTATCTCCAATGATTAGATTGAACTCTAAAACTTCCATCATCATATGTTATTTACCTGTGCTTTAAACTAAATAAGGGTTAATACCACTTTTGACCCATCATATAAATTAGGATTTTTCCTTTCAATATTTGACTATCAATTTGGACACTTCAAAAATCCTCTTTAGTGGTTGAATTGATAGTAATGCCTAACAGAGGAAATGTCATTATGCTAAAGGGACAAGAAAGGGGTAATAGTTTCTCTTTTTTGACATTAGTGAATCCATTAATTTGTTGTTTTATCATTAAGCAGTTGTTTTACACAAGTCAATTGCTTCGTATTGAATTTATTCGCCACTTGCTTATCCTATTAAGCATCTGTGGATCCATTTAGCTGTCCTGTGCGGTTTCTTACTCCAGAATATTATATGTTTTTATGTCCGTTCTGCAATTATCAAGTGGTCTGCTCATGATAATTTTTTATGGCATTTGCCTGTTTGGATCAGTTCTGTAGATTTAACTACCAGATTATTATAGCCACTCACAAGATTAATAAGGCTTACAAAAAAAATTTTTGTCACTAAAGTTACTAGACTCACATTTTTGTCCACTATTTTATTTTGGTTATATATTTGGAATTGTTTCTACAAAAAATGCAAAAAAGAGACTTAATTAGTAACTTATGTTGGATACTCTTCTATTGCAACCTTCTATGGCATGAACAATGAGATGAAATTCGAGAACCGTTATCATCATATGTTTTTTTCTGCTTGCATATTATAGTCATGTCCCAATTATTGTGAAGTGGTCTATATATCCTACATTTATATTTTATTTCTACTCACATACTCCCTCTGTCCCGAAAAAGTTCGCCAACTTTGACTTTCACGTGGATTAATAAAGTAAAAATTGTGTGGTTGAAATTTGTGCAGAGGAAAGAGAATTAACTTTAGCCACATATTCCTTACTTTAAATGGAAATGGCAAATCTTTTTGGGACATCCAAAAAAGGAAATTTGGCAAACCTTTTCGGGACGGAGGGAGTATAAAATTTTATTGAAGTGATTATATTTGCACTCTAGACTGAAGTATGTACATTTTAAGGCCACAAGGAAATTTTCAATGCTCTTTTATATGTATCACACTACACAGTTAAGGCATTTCCTCAATAGAAATTTCTTGTGTTATGCAATGTAGGAACAAGCAATTTGCTCATTTTATAGTCGATATGGAATTTGCAAGTTTGGACCGGGTTGTAGATTCGACCATACCGATCATTACAGCCACCCGTCTTCTGCATGGTCAGATTTTGATCAGCCTCAATTTGGTAGGTCTGAGGCTGTGGATGGGGATAGGGTGGGAGTGAGGAAAGGAAATGGAAGCGGATCTTTAGTAAAACAGTCTGTGTAAGTTTCAGTAGTTTCCGCCCACATGCTGTGTGTGTGATGATCTACTTTGACTTACAGGAGTGTTTTTACTTGAAACACCAAGTGCCGGGGTATCCTCGTGAAATTTCAGCACACACCATCTTCAAGATGCCTAAGCCAGGAATATGATTTTGTAAATTACACAGCACTGTTGTGTTGCGGTGGTAGATATTTCACGTCATTCGTAGGAAGTTGCTACTCACAATGGCTTTTAATTAATTTATTTATTTATGTGCTTACAAATATTTTCAAGTATCCTTGAATTTTGGTATTGCTGCTTAGCATTCCGTCATTCATGTCCCAGTCCTACTCTCCTGAACCATACGAATTATCAGGTTGTCTTTGATAGATCCTTTCTAAACCAACGACACTGGTGGGAGGTCTCCTGATTTAGTCTTATCTTTTGTAATAAAATATGAGGCAACACCAAAAATCTATTTAGCATAGCTCATTTTCCACATTACTTTCAAGCACAGCTTCCACGCCTGGTTAGTTCTCTGTATTGAATAATTTGAGGAGTGAACCAGAGCTGGTACCCACCTGCAGCCTCTGCAGACTGCAGGGGCGGTTCCAAGTGTTTTTGTTCAGTGTGACCCCAATTCAAAAAAACATAATCAATAAATAAAAACATTGCCAGTGATATATTCATGTGCCTCCTTCAAAATGGACCAGCTAGGGTTTTGAACTTTTGACCAGGATGGTTAGAATTGTTTTTTAAACTATGCTACAAAACAAGACCGGAGCTCATTTTGCAATTGGACAGATGCTTTTTTGGGGCCTGAACCAGTGCTGATACAAAATTTCCGGTCCCGATTCCATATAGGAAGGAGAGATCGGCAATGACTGGTCTGTAATCGAGTTAGTTCTGCATTTGGACTTTTATGCACGAAATTTAAAATGCTTGGATTATGAACAATTGGAGAGAAACTTTCCTTTAGCAATTAATGCAGTTTAAATCTTTTTTCCGGAATTCCAGATGATGGAGGGTGAATGCTAGGCCTAGGAGGGATTGAGGGTGAAGACCTCAAAGTTGACTTTTTTATCCCATGAATGCAATTAGCACAAGACAGATTTAGAGCCGGTTTGACAATACCTAAATTGGCTGTGTTGGTCGATTCCGTTGAAATTTATGATGTTTGACTGAAGTTGTTGGATTGGTTGATTCTGCTAATTTATGAAAAATAGTTAAAATGATCTTCTGCAGTAACTTCAGCCAAAACAATCAAAAAAGTAATTGCAACCTTATTTTTCTTATTACTATCATATTACACAACTCTGTGCGCGAAATCAAAAGTTACGTACTTGATGAAAAAGTTGATTGATAAGCCGCAAAATGGGGTCACCAAATAGGCTCTTAAACTTCCTTCCGGATTTTGAGGACGTACGTACGTACTGATTTGAACTTGTTGAGAAAGCATGCGTGTAAAACAATTCCTTAATTGGAACACGTTCTCATAACAAGCTCTAACCCTGCTCTATGCATTGTGTTTTTATCGGATATGTCCTGGGCTGCAAAGGCTATCGTTGTCTCTCCCCTTCTACTGGTCGCGTCTATGTTAGTAGGGATGTTATATTTCATGAAAACATTTTTCCATATCCCATCTTGGCTCAGAAACCCATTATTCCAGCACCTTCGTTGCCATCCTCCTGGCTATCCTCTTCCTCTCATCAATTACGACCCGAACTCCCTCCTCCTGGCCTTAATACAAGCTGCAACCCCAGTCTGCCACCTTCTCCTTCACCTAACCAATTACTCGTCCAGTACCCCCTCTAACTCAATCCCCGTCCAAATCTCCACCAGCCACACCCAGCCTTCCTTCACCAATTGGTTCTACCGCAACATTACCCAGCCGCTGCTCACAATCCCCGCCGTCGGCCAGTAGTTCTGCCGCATCAGCATCACCAACGGCCAGCAGTCTGCCCCCTGCTCCCACTAACATCCATCCCATGCGCACTCGTGCCAAGGTTGGTATTTTAAATAAAAAACAATGTTTAATTTAAGTGTTTTTGCTCCTCCCGATGATCCGACTTGTATTACACAGGCTAATAAGAGTATTGTTGGGCGGGCAGCCATGACTGATGAATTTAATGCTTTAATCGCTAATAAGGCTTGGGAATTGGTACCTTGGGATCATACTAAAAACAATGTTCTAAATTCGCTAGGCGCTAGTCGGGCGGTCAAGCACCGCCTAGTGCCTAGGCGGACTAGGCGCTGATTAGTTTTCGACTAGGCGGCCAACTCGGTTTCAACATAATATAAAAAAAAATACTCGGCAACAAATACTACATTAAAAAAGTAAAGTTTAAAGTTTAAACATAATAAACATGTTACACACTACCTAGTTTAATAATTAATAAGTTAGGACAACTTGGTTTACAACAATTAAAAGTTTAAAACATCAATACATCACAATGAGCTAATAAGATAAAACGGGCAATGCTTTGAGCTCAAACTAATGTTTTGCAAAAGAGATATTAATTTACACAGCAAGCCCAAACTGCCGTGCAATCATCTTGATTAACATGATCCCTGCGACAGTTTGATCAAAGCACCATGATCACAAGGGCATCAGTGAGTTTTCACAAGTACCAAAATCGAAAAAGAAGAGAACGTATATCAGTAAGTTAATACCTCTCCAATTCTCCACACATATGATAGTATTAAATTGAAAGACTGGTGCTCACTGAGCATCCAAACTTGAACTTCTACTTTAAATTAACTTCAGCAGTTTTATTCCCTTCCTACTTTGTGCCCTCTTTTAGGGATGACAACCTCTGAATAATAAGTGACCAAATCATGTAATGCTTCTTCCAGGGATGACAATCCTTCTATGGCCTCTTTCTAGTAATAGGGCTTTAAATGTTTGATTTGGTCACTCATTAACATGACTAAAAAGTACCCCAAACTCCCAGCACATACAAATCACAGCATGAATTACATTGGGGTCTCCAAGTAAATCACACTTCATTTAAAATCTAAAAGCCATGATAAATGTCAAAAATTAATGTTAAATGGATACGGCATGTCAACATATGAAGAAGAAAGGATACTATAACTTGTTTATACTTTCTAGTCATGTCAGCCACAACTTGTTTAACTAAGGGAATGCTTCAGAGGATGCACTTTTCACTGTTCTGTACAAAACTACAACCTTTTATGTTTCAATTCCTCAACATTTGCTTAACACAATAAAACCCAGAGCTAATAGCCTAATAGGTTTCTTATTGCAGAGGCGCAGAGCTAATAGGATGTGTAATAAAATTATTTAAAAAATCTATGTATGAGGTTCAAATGATTGGGGGATGACGAGCACTTTGTCACGGTGCTTCAAAATAAATTCAATACTAACACTTATACCATGGGCGGATGGTAGTTAGGGCAGGGGTGGGCTTCAGCCCAGCCCAAAAAAAATAAAAATTGTTAGTATAGGTATATATTAAATTCTCAGCCCATCCTAGAATAATTTCCCAGCCCAGCCCACTGCCCAGCTTCTCAGACTTGCGCTTAAGCCTTAAGAGATTGGAGCTTCGCGTAAGACTAATAGGCATTAGCAACGAAGAAGAAAGAACGTTGAGGGAGCACCGGAGCAGACTGCAGACGGAGCTTGGATCTGCGATAAGGAAGAAGTGAACGACTCCAGTCTCCAGCCGCGCCGCCGACGTCGTCTGCCGACTCCGGCAGTCCGCCTCTGCGCGGCGACTGCGCGTCTGCCTCCCTCCAGGCTCCAGGATTCCAGGTAAATTCAAAAAACAATTTCTTTTTTAGATTTTTAATTTATTGTTTTAATTGATTTGGTGTTAGATTGTAATTTCACTGATTTGTGAATGTGTCAATGTTTTATACGGTTATACAGGCCAGAGCAGAGGGAGTCCAGCGAACATCAGTCGATAATTGGAGAATGCTTTATTTATTATATAATTTGATGATTCTGTGATAAAATAGTACATAATATGATTTATTTACTATGCAATTGAAGGTTAGAGAATGATTTATTTACTATGCAATTTGATGATTAGTACATAATAAAATAGTGTTTATTCTGTGATATTCTGTGATTTATGAATGATTGGAGAATGATTTATTTAATATGCAATTGAAGGTTAGAGAATGATTTATTAATTGTGTGGACATGTAGAAACTAGAAAGAATTAAAATTTTCAATTGAATTTTGAAATTGAGATTACTTATTAATCTATGTACAACAATTTTTTTCTCTTAAAAGTTTTATAAATTTATAGAAGTATTTAGATTCATACCAATATTGAAAATGCTTTTTAGAATGGATAATGAACATATTGTCAAGAAAGGAAAATAAATTTACTATACTCGATAGATTTTAAAATTGAGTACGAAATTGAGCTTGATTTTGACTCGATAAATTTTAACGCTTGATAAATATGCTCGAATGTAGAAGTTTAGACTATACTCGTTAATAGATTCATGTTCGAATTATTCAATAAATACCAAATCTTTATTAATCGTTAATATATTTATAAAATAGCATTATAACATTAAGATTTTAAGAAATTTATTCCTATAATTTATTAAAAAAATTATAACATCACTATGTTCGAACTTGGTTTGAATAACTATTCAAACTCAAACCTAGTCCGTGTTCGAGTTAGAATCTTGTTAACTCGGGTCATTAAATTAGATTCAAAATCAAGCTCGAAATCGAGTATAAAATTCCAAAAAAGCTTGATTCGATAACAGCTCTGAGCAAAACTTTGTATATATGAAAACTATTTTTTACTGCTTAGCCCACCCCACCTCTCAATCCTGGATCCGTCCCTGACTTATACGTAGTATAGCGTAGTAGAGTTCGTATCCACAGGGAAAGGAATAATTCTCTTTTTTATAAAACTAGTAAATAAAAGGGGGGTTTAGGGTTGAATGATTTAACTTAATTAAACACGAAGATGAACAAGTTATATGTGATTTAATTCAAAGATAAAAAGGACTTGGCATTGCTACTTTCCACATGTTGATATATTTTAGTCGATCATTGTTATATCTATAACTTATCCCCTCTCGAATACTCAATCGGGGAGTACATCCAATTCATCGAGGGTAGTTATTAACAACGACCGTTCATTAATAACCCTTACTATTAGTCAAGTATAGAACACCGTCATATACCGACTTGATAGTAGCATTTAATCTCTTAACTCGTTGATGAAATCAATTGAGATTGATAACCTCAACACAACGGTTTCGGTTTAACCAACAAAATTAATCCCTCTTAAGTTTATTAACCACGACCGTGCATTAATAAACCAAAGTTACTTACTTGTGAAACCATCAACGATTAACAAGCGTATTCGTCGATCGATTCTAGTAATAATTAATAAATGAAACAAAACTAGTTGATCCTTTTAGTAATGTTCAAAATATTAATATGAAATATGAATAGGAATTAATTAATATTCAAGGAAGAATATT